ATTGTCAATTTTCCTATCTTCACGAAGTAATATAAATTATGAAAAGTAAAGAACAAACAAATTGAAGTTTCAAGTTGAAATAATAGGAAACAAAGAGAAATTAAAGTGATTATCTTCAAGAATATTTCTAGTTTCTAGGTGAACACTTCTTTCCTCTTAGTGTTTTATTTACCTTTTTTTTTCTATATCTGCTGATTTGTTGTCTTAAAAATATTCTCCTTCAATTTCTTATATTTTTCAATAGTAGTATTCGATGTTTTTTCCAAGTAATTGATGAGTGGAATATACATACTACTACAGCACAGAGTGTGTATATCATATATGTCAGGTATACAAAGAGAATTGAATATGATCCATAGTGAAATACAAACTCGTCTAAAAAAAGAATTTGAAAGTTGTTTGTCAATTTTACCAAGAACACATAGGATTCTCTCATTTCTAATTGTTGTTGAAAACAAGGGGAAAAAATGGTTTTATTAGTTGAAAAGTGTTTGCTGTTTTATTTTGTTTTCAAAGGGAGGAAAAAAATTAAAATAGTTTTTCTCAATCAAGATTAATTTCCTACTGTCATGTATATGTAAAATATGCCTAGTATATATATGTATATATATATATATATATATATATATATATATATATATATATATATATAGGTTTCAGTTGCGACCAAACCGCTGACTTGATTAACATTATTAGTTTTATTATTACTATAATAGTGAATTCAGAAGAAAAGGTAACTCTTAACAGATTTTAGCTCATCGATAATGACATATCAATACAGTTGGTATGTGTTTAGAGTAAACAATGGAAATTGTGTCGATAATGAATGTTTTTCCGTTATCGAAGTTATGAAGAAAACTACATCTGACTTTGTACACAAGTAATCTGGTTTCACCATGTATTGATTTATTTATCCTACTGACCACCGAGTTATGCTTTTCTATGTTTAATGACATGGTTTTCTTCATTTGGATGGTTTATTAAATTTGTAAGTTTGTGGTGATTTTATTAACTTCAAGTTAGTATACATCATGTATTGATATCAGTTGAGAAATCATCTAAATCCTGTGAGCAATAGACATTTGTCTAGTTCTAGCATGTGACCTCTTGAGGCTGTGCATTCATAACCTCGGAAGGGATTGAAGCCAAAACTTTCAGGTCCACTGAGCCATAGGCTGGGAATTGAAACAGTTTATAAATGCGTAGTTGTTTTCAAAGTTTTCATCATAAAATAACATTAGTTAGAAAATTCATTGAAACGTAGAGAGAGATGAACAGTTGTTTTTTTCTACTGACCTAAAATATTTCAGTAGTATGTACTAATAAACTCATGTAGGATAAAGAGAAAAACAATCAGGTTATTGAAACAGCACGTTACTTTTCAGCCAATGGGTTGAAGCATCATGCTGCCGAGAAAGCAGCAGGACCAGATGGGATTCCACTAGAAGCACTAAAGACAGACGCAGAGACAACAGCTCCTATCCCTGTCCACCGCAAGCAAAATATATTAAGCCGGATCAACCCGGAGAGACTGAAAAATGCTCTGCATTCAAATTTTACTACTGAAACAGGCTGGTTGGCTGGCTTCATGAAGTACAAATCATGTGCTGATCAAATTGCAACGCTACGCATCATCATAGAACAGAGTACAGAATGGCACTCAACTTCACCGACTTTGAAAACACCTTCGACAGCGTCGACCGAGAAGCTATTTGCCAGTTGCTTCAACACTACAGAGCTCCACTAGTCTTTATCAACCTCATTGAACTGTTATATGAAGACATCACATGCAAAGTGATTCACAATAGAAACCTCAGTGATGCCTATGAGGTGAAGATAAGAGTGAGACAAGGTTGTCGCCTACTATCACTAACGATGTTTCTCGCTGTAGTCTACTGGACTGGATCATGCAACAAACTGTGAGGAGCTGTTGGAAGATAGGCATACACTAGCTGCCCCGATGAAAAGACACTAAAAGATTTGGATTTTACCACAGAGGATGATTTATGTCTAATCTCTTGCCACACAAACTCGAAGATCTACAGGCGCAAACTAACAAGTTGGCAGAAGAGGCGAGGTGAGGCGAGGTGAGGCGAGGCAGCTAAGGAAGACGGAACTCCCTTCAGGTGAACGTAGAGAAGACTGAGGTGACAAACATACCCAACCAACCAACCAACAAACAAACAAACCAACCAGCCAGCCAACCAACCGATCAATCAACCAACCAACCAACTAACCAACCAGCTAACAAGAACAACAAGCATCAATCATCACCAGTGGGAGAAACCGAAAAGAAATAGTCTTTTTTTTATCTATCTAGAAAAAGCAGCATCATCTCAACTATAAGTGGCGACACAGATGAGGATGTCAAAGCAGCCAACATCGGAAAGACAGTAAGACAGGCCTTCCTGCATTAATCTGAAATCAGTGTGGAGATCTACTCCACCACACTACACTACACTGCACTACACTACACTGCACTACACTGCACTGCACTACACTGCACTACACTGCACTCAGCATAAAGCGTGAACAACACCCAGATTTTCAACACTAATTCAGTTAAGTAAGTCAGTGTTTCTATGCAATGGTTAATAGACTTGGTGGCACGTCACGAAAAGCATTTCCAACAAACTACACGTATACATGAAGAGCTGCCTTCTACGCTCATTCGACACTGACACTGAAGATCAGATGGATGGTCAGAATAATAAGAATGAGCAAGGAGGAACTCACTCTGACCTGATAACGAACCAACCAAGAAGCTGTTGTCAAACAAATATGCAGAATAAAGTGCATATGGATTGGACTGGACATACGCTGAGAAGACGTTAAGAGGACAACACGCACCAGACTAGGCCATCGAGTGTAAGCCAAATGGGAGATGACGAGTTGGGCTTTTGAGGCTAGGGTGACATGTGGGAGATGGTGTGAGGAATAAGTGAAATGTTTTGGGCATTGGTGGAGGGAGGTTTGGAAGACTGCAGAGAAGAGAGTGAGATGGTGACGTGCTACAGAAGTGTTATGTTCCACTAGTAATCCAAGGGACAAATAACGGTAATGTCAATTTCTCTGATCAATGCCAATCCATGATGAAAACTTCTAAGTAGGATTATCATTAAATATAAAGGATCTGTTTGTGTTTATGCAATTTTCAGTGCTCAAATTAAACAACATTATTCAGCTCATCAGACTGCAGAAGTCATCTGAATATGCAGCTTTATTAGAAGTCCAAAATGCTATAAATCAGTTTTTATTCCGACTACGTCCAAAGACTAGTTGTGGAACGATGAATTAGGTAGCTATTAGGTCTGGAGTACTAATCAAAGTTTGTTGTTCAAGGTCAAAGTATTATCGCTTCTGTAAGTAACATGACATGGGCTGTAACGAGAGTTTTTCTCCTTGAAGTCGTCCTTTTGTTTGTCAAATATTATCCAACAGCAAAGTTTTTTTTTATAAAATAACGTTTTAAATATTGCTACCGTCCATCATCTTACTCATGGGTTACAATCAGTGGAACATATTCAGATATGAATAAGGCATTATCATATGTTTCGTTGTAAAGATTTATCTTTTTCAAAATGTTTATGTCTATTTTTGTACATCTCAATATGTGTGTTATTTAATTTCAATCGATCTTCTATACTTGAAGATATTTTCACCTATAGAAAGACACTGTTTGATCACTTATTGGGTAAGTCAATAAGAATTCACTGACTACTGTCTAACGTTTCATCGGTATACACTTTCAAAACTATGATGAATAAAAATATGATCATTCGACATTCTCCATTGAATCGCTTTCATATTTTTTAGTGGTCAGTACTTTTTTTTTCTAAAATATCCATTCAGTGTGATATCATAATGAATAACTAATGGATAATTTTTCTTATCATCACAACTAAATGATCTGATTAGCTCTATTTTTATATTAAAAGTTAGAGACAATAGAATATTATCACCAACAACTTAAAGTCTCTGTATCTATGTTATAGAAGACAGACGAATGCATTCTCCTTTCTTTTTTTTTTAAATAAAATTTTAAACTAAAATGAAACATCTTTTTGATAAATCCCACTCACAGTGTTAAGAAAGGATTAAGTGATATACAAACAAATAGATAAGTTTTATCAAATCCTTCAAGCTTGTGCAAAGTTCTCTATTCGTATCTCTGCTACTTTTCATCAATCTCTTCTAAATAAAAATTATTTCGGTTAACAATTTGTTATAAATAATTAAATAAACACAAAAACACTTTTTTTAAACATTCAATCAGTTAATAATATAATGAGTTGTTTACCCTATTGATATACAAATCTATTATTTCAAGTTGTTATTCATCGTAGACTGACATCAGTTGGAGGAACAAATGAAGCCTGGAAGCACTGGACAGCTGTTTCGTCCTAGTATGGGACTCCCCAGCAGTGCGCACCCACGACCCCACCAGCAGGGATCGAACCCACGACCTTCAGGTTCCGCGGCCAGCGCCTTACCACTGAGCCACTGGGTCAGAATCCGATGCTCCATATTTCCAACCTCTGTTAGCTTACGAATAGTGGCTCAATGGTAACGCGCTGGCCGCGGAACCTGAAGGTCGTGGGTTCGATCCCTGCTGGTGGGGTCGTGGGTGCGCACTGCTGGGGAGTCCCATACTAGGACGAGACAGCTGTCCAGTGCTCCCAGGTTTCCTTTGTTCCTCCAAATGATGTCAGTCTACGATGAATAAAAACTTGAAATATTTCCAAATCTCCACAATCCCCTCAAAATTCAAATCTATTATTATTTGTTATATTTAAATATGGTTGCATAGTATATCATGACAGAATGGTGTGTACTACAATTTTACCTTCAGTGTACCTCAAGATCGTATAGAGATACATACTTTATCATTTCTATTCACTGTGTGTACGCACTATTCCAACATATTTACTACAGGTTTCAATTTTTGTGCATATCAATTCATTGAATCACTTCATTATCTGAATTTACTTTCGTTCTAGGAATTAACGTGTACTGCTAAATCTGGAGAGCATGTGATCACACCAACAACTCGACGTGAATGTCCATCATGTAGACTAAAACAATGTTTTCGTGTTGGTATGAGACCAGATCTTATACAGGTTCGTAAAAGTAAGTACAACTTGTTACATTATTTTATTTTAATTATTTATTAAGTTTACACTGGATTTGTATATGTTTCATGCCTGATAACACTGGCCAACTTTCAGGAGATTCATGTTCCCTAAAACAGCTTTGAAGTCAGAGACATTAACAATGACTTATGCAGGCTGTGGATAACGTCTTTAATGAATGAATTGTTTCAGCGAACCAATCATCAGATAATAACCAGTGTATCACAGTATACAGAAATGAAAGCCTTTGCATAGTTTTGTAAACTACCTGACTATCCAATTACCTACGCACTACCTGATAGAATAGAAAGACTTCCTTCTCATCGTACGAGTAGTTTACAGTTGTGTTAGCGTTGAAAAATCAAAATATTCAGACCATGTTACAAATGATATTTCACCTAATTGTGTCATTCTCACTGCAGACTATATAGTTCATAAATAGCTGGTTTCACTCCTAAATTTATTATTATTTGTCCCTTGGGATCCTAGTGGAATATACGGCTTCAGCAGCACGTCTCCATTCCACTGTATCCTCTCCAATCTTTTGGACCTGGTTCCACGACAGCCTTAAGCTCTCATTTCTTCCTCACACCATCTCCTTCATGTCATCCTCACCTCAGACGCCCAACTCTTCGTTTCCCATCCCGGTTTCACTCTAGCGACTGGTCTGGCGCGTGATGTCCCCAATCGGCCTTCTCACTGTATGCCCAATCCATTCCATCTCCACTTCCTTCTGCATATTTTTTGAGCTATAAGTTGTTGGTTGGTTCGTTGCCAGTCAGCCAGAGTGAGTTCCTTGTTGCTCATTCTTATTATTCTGGCCATCTGAGCTTCAGCAACGAGCGTAGGCAGTTTTTGATGAATATCTACAGTTTGTTGGAAGTGCCTTTCGTAACGCGCCAAGTCTCTCAACCATCACACACAAGCACTGACTTACTTGACTGAATTGGTGTTGAAAACCCAGGTGTTGTTCACGCTTTATTCTGAGTGCAGAGGAGAAGATCTCCACACTGATTTCAGGCTAATGAAAGCCTATCTTGCTTTCCCGATTCTGACTTTGACATCTTCGTATGCGCCGCCACCTGTAGTTGAAATGATGCTGCCTAGATAGGTGAAGGAGGCTACTTCCTTTAAGTTTCTCCCGTTCATGGTGGTTGCAGCTTGTTATTGTTGGTGGTGGTGTTGGTTGGGTATCATTATCACTTCCGTCTTCTCTACATTCACTTGAAGTCCCGTCTTCGCTTCCCTACCTCACCTTTTCTGTCAACTTGTTAGTTTTCGCCTGTAGATCTTCGAGTTTGTGTGACACTAGACACAAGTCATGGTTGGTGAAATCCAAGTCTTCTAGATTCTTTTCCCCAGTCCAGCCAGCGTATCCCCCTCTTCCCACAGCTCCTCACTGTTTGTTGCATGATCCAGTTCAGTCGACCACAATCAGGAATATCATGGGTGATAGTAGACTTCCTAAATAATTACTATTGTATTTATCGGTGCTTATAGTTATGTGAAATATTTTTAACGCTTATTTTGGTAACATTGAAAGTGGTATATATTCTTTTGATAAAAATGAATTACACTCAAAGTATCATCATATACTTAACAAGTAGTAGTTAACTGATGGCTAGATTTAACTTGTTTTGAGATAAAGACCACCTTCTCATTTCTACTATCTGGTTACAGATACTGATAAATTTGAATGAAATGAAGTCTTGTTGAAATCTAATATTGACTAGAGACTAAATTCAAGCAACGTCTTTGACCCTAGTTAGGGTTCTTCAGTTAGCTGTTACTGAAGTCCTAATGATATTATTACTCGACTTAAAAGCATCCCTTCAAAACTCAAAGAGACCAGGATAAGATAAAAGTTCTACTCATAATTGAGGTACCAATTATGGATCGATAACCGGCTATGGCTTATTCAGGAAAGTTATGAGTAAACAAACGATTACTCTCATCAATATTATGTTACATTTTTGGAGTTTGAAGCGTATAAGTTTAGGTTAAATTTTAGATTATGAATATGAGAAAAACTAGTCTAGCAGTTATCTTCACTACTATTTATTGAAAATATTGAAAATGGTTTCCAACTAATTGTTAGTAACTATTTAATTTTATTTATTTCTTCTATATAATACTCGATTATTTTTAGAAGATGGTAGTAAACCTCGTTGGCTTGATAAAGTTCCCAGTGCAGCAATTGTTCATGAACAACATTTACAGTCATCTGAATCTTTAGTCTGGTCAACAAATAACAACATGAATAATCATAATCGTAGTGATTGTGGTAATAAGAACAATCTATCTGATAATGGTTCACTAACTTTAATTCATCGAACAAAATATCGTTTGAACTCAGATAAATGTTATAAAACCAAAGGTAAAGAATATAAACTTCTTTTAACTGAGAATGATCACAAAGAGATTGTAAATAGCAATAATAACGAGACTAGCCTATCAATTGATGATAATAATACTAACATTACTAAGAATAGTGTAAATTTTATACAGAAATCTACACATTCTAAACGGTATAAATTAAATTCTAATGAGATCGAAAAGTATACTTCAGATCATTATTACCCTTCTAATGTTAACACGCAAATTACTCATCCACCATTTCAAGAATATGATACAAATTTGGTACCTTATGAACAGTTGAATAATTTTTTAATGCCTTTATCATCATCATCGTCAGTATCATCATCATCATCATCATCATCATCATCAGCTTCATCTAATGTATCAGATATTGTAAATGGATTATCTAATTCAATACTTGATAAAGATTTATCAGTAAATACTAGTAATAATATAATGACTACTAACAACAGTATGAGTAATATAAGTAGTTGCAATAATAACATAATCTGTCCTTCAGGAATAAATGTAACAACAAATTATTTATCAATTGATGGAGTATTTCATATCAATGAGTTAATGTTACCTAATTCATATGGAAATAATGAAAATGAAGTAAATCTGATGAATCCAGAACGACCGATTCAACTTACTTCTAGTAATATGAACATTCTGTGTAACAGTGATTGTATTGAACATGATACTAATGATAATAGCTTAAGTTCTACAATAGTATCAGTGATTGAAACATCTATAATGACAATGACTACAACAACGGGAACAACAATAAGCAATAGTATACACAATCCCCTTAATTTACTTTCAAAAAATCATCATGTAGTAAATTTTAAATCACATAGCATAAATCACTTAGGTAAGTTATTTTGTTATTTATCTCTTATAAGAAATTTTCAATGGTCTACTGAAATGTACTAGTGAGAAGGATTAATTTGTTGAATAAAGTATTTGATAGTTCAGTGTCTAACTCTTAGATAGTAAGAATTCAAGAATTTATTATCAGTGAAACACTTAAACAATATGTGATGAAGAAAGATTGAACGTTTTACTACCTTTCACAATTTTAAGTGCTCATAGGTGGATTTTCTAGTGACAATTTGTTAACTTTATCAATGTAAATCTATTTAGAGAGGAAAGATTACGTGTTTCACTTTTGTACTACATATCAAAACTGTCTTCATTAACATTATAGATGAGAAATAAGAAGATTGAATGATGAAGGTAATAGTCATAGGCGTTTATAATCTTAGAAATCTTTTTTCTGTTGCTCGTGAAAGTAACTGTCTTCTCCTGATCTGTCAATAAATTCTCTGTGTTGCAACCACTGTAGTGTTATGTCATTCAACGGGATTATTTGATACTAGTGAGGCTTTCCATAGATAATCAGTTGTATAAAGATTCGGATTCGAACCGTTGACCACCGGATTTTCGGCTTGGTGTTCTACCAACTGAGCTGTGAGGTCCGGCTGCCGACAACACTTTTATTTTACTTCAGTCACCCTGTGAATTTGTGATGCGTTACTATCTCTTGATCGTATTCACACCTAGTCAGGACTTCTTATCCTAATGCAAATCTGACTGAATTAGAGGGAATAGAGAGCATCATGTTCATTATTGCTTTGACTTTCCGAGATATCTATGGTTTAGCAGACTTGTATTGATACTGTGTGATAACCAACATGATGCTTCTCTCCTTTCTCATTCATTTAGATTTGGGGTTTGAGTACGATCAAGCGATAGTAACGAGTTATAAATTCACTTAGTATTCGTTTAAAATCCTTGGTGATTGAAGTGGAAGAAAAATCTGATCAGTAGTTGAACCTGGTAACTCAGTTCGTGAAGCATTGGGCCGGAAATCTGGTGGCCACTGGTTGGAGTCCGACTACGATCCAAATCTTCATTTCACCTTCAATCATCGTCCAGTATTAATACTAGTCTACCAAACCAGATAGTTAAAATTACAAACTAGTCTATTTGTATTATACTACTGATTTTTTTTCTCCCTTTTATTAGATGATCTTATTCTATTAACTGATTCAACTCAATTATTGGAGCATCAAAGCGTGACTAATGAAAAGTTAACCACTCAAATCATATCTGCTTTGTCCTTGATGACACCATCTACAATAAGTAATGAATTATCGATAAATAATTTGACTTGTAAACAAATAAATGACAGTATAACCATTCCATCATGTTTAATGACCAACCAATCTTCTGTATGCACATCATCCAATGTAATATCATCTAGTATGATAACTGACACTTCACTCCTCTCAAACACTGATGTATCTAACATTTGTCCAGTTAATTCTACACCGATCACGTCTAACTGTTTACCTACAGTCTATGATCAGTCATTACTTACATCATTATGGGATTCTTCATCTTTACCATTTGAAAAAAATGAAGATACAACAATACCAATATTTTATTCTGACAAAAGTGAATGTCAGTTACCTAATAATTCAATTATTTCAACTAATCAGCCGGTTCAAATCATTCCATTACATAATGAAGACAAATTGTCATTTGATTCACCAATACAAACTACAATGAAATCATTATCGGATGATTTATTAACAAACGAATTACCTTTATTACCACCATCATCTGAAACCACCTTTTTCACTTCATCATCATCGTCATCATCATCATCATCATCAGCAGCAGCAGCAGCATCATCATCGTCACCTTTATTTGCTTTGTCAGTGTCAAAGGGAACAAATGAAGCACAATATAATATAAATTCAATGCATACCATATCATTCGACAACAATTGTATCCTACCTGTTGATTTAAATAATGTTATTCTGTTAGATGAAGTTAAGCTAGCAAACTCATTAAGTAATTACAACAGTAGTTCAATCGCAAGCATAGACCACAGGGATAATAATCTTACTCATAATATCAATTCAACTATATTGACTTGTTCTAATATCTGTCAAATTAAATCAGCGAATCATAGTTTACAAAAAACACCTGAAAAGGTATGAGGATTATAGTTTAAAGTAATTATTTATTAACGCACCAAAAGATTAAATGGTTTATTATTTTTTTTAATTTAACTGCTTTGTTTACTGTTTTTTACTCTAATTACATGATATATATGTGTATATTTATCCCATATGAATTTATATATGCCACTGGAAACAGGCGAAAACTAAAGAGTTGACAGAAAAGACAGGTGAGAGAAGACGAAACTTCCTTCAGGTGAACGTTAAGAAGACTGAGGTGACGAACATACCCAAATAACAACAAGCATCAATCATCACCAGTGGGAGGAACCAAAAAGAACTAGTCATTTTTTTTTATCTATCTAGAAAAAGCAGCATCATCTCAACTATAAGTGGCGACACAGATGAGGATGTCAAAGCAGCCAACATCGGAAAGACAGTAAGACAGGCCTTCCTGCACTAATCTGAAATCAGTGTGGAGATCTACTCCACCACACTACACTACACTGCACTACACTGCACTACACTGCACTGCACTGCACTCAGCATAAAGCGTGAACAACATCCAGATTTTCAACACTAATTCAGTTAAGTAAGTCAGTGTTTCTATGTAATGGTTAATAGACTTGGTGGCACATCACGAAAAGCATTTCCAACAAACTGCATGTATACATGAAGAGCTGCCTTCTACACTCATTCGACACTGACACTGAAGATCAGATGGATGGTCAGAATAATAAGAATGAGTAACGAGGAACTCACTGTGACCTGATAACGAACCAACCAAGAAGCTGTTGCCAAACAAATATGCAGAATAAATTGCATATGGATTGGACTGGACATACACTGAGAAGACGTTAAGAGGACAGACAACACGCTTTAGGCTATAGAGTGTAAGCCAAATGGGAGACGACGAGTTGGGCTTTTGAGGCTAGGGTGACATGTGGGAGATGGTGTGAGGAATAAGTGAAATGTTTTGGGCATTGGTGGAGGGAGGTTTGGAAGACTGCAGAGAAGAGAGTGAGATGGTGACGTGCTACAGAAGTGTTATGTTCCACTAGTAATCCAAGGGACAAATAATAATAATAATACTGGAAACAGTTGTGACTTTAGGTTTTGAAGTAATAGTGTGTATGTTTTTGTCACTAAAGAAACCAAACTGATCAAGTGGTATTGGTATATGGGCTCTTGTGTAGATGCGTCGATATTCCTTGTATTTTCAATTTTGATATTAATTGTGTGTAGTGGTTTATAGTGGAATATAGGACATGCGTTTCATCTTATTTTGAACTCGTCAGCTATGTGTACCTGCCTTCCAGTGAGTGATGTCAAAATTATTGCTTTGGTTAGCTGACTTTTACAATAGCTTATAACATTATTGAAGTTTTTGCTACTGTTAGACTAACATTTAGCCTCAGGTTAGTATTTAATCATGGACCGATATCAGTTGGAGAAACATTCAGGAGCTTGGAGCATTGGACAGGTGTTTCATCCTAGTATAGGACTCCTCAACAATAGGCACCTATGACCCACCTAGTGATCGGACCCAGCACATTACCACTGAGCCACTAGGTCACAATCCAATGGTCCATATTTCTTAATAATTAGCCAGCTAGTTGGAATCTCAAACATTTCAGCAGGAGATGTTTACCTATCATGACGTTTTGATAGCAATTGTTTGATAAGTTGTCTAACCGAAATCTCTTTTCAAAATTGATTGTTACAAGCAAACATTGATGATAGTTTACTATTTTCGGCTTCATCTTTACTATGAGTTGAATATTACTCAGTTATCAGTGCCAATTTTTTTATTTCTATCAGTAAAATAAAATATTAGATAGCTTATAGTGGATAAATTGATTAGCTTTGTGTTACACCAATCAGGAACAATAATGTGGCAGTCACTAATCAGTTCCATTTGTTTGAATCAACTAATTAATCTTGTTTGAAGTTAATATTTATAATAAACTGAAATTACAACTACTGGGATATAGGAATAAATGAACAGAAATTTCACCTTCAGAAGTACCAGTAATGTCTTATCCTTTCCCAAGGAACTCAGAATATTATTTTCTTGTGATATGCCGTTTTTTTTCTATTTATATCCCAAATAATTGTTCCACTTAATCAAATTTAGTTATTCCAATTAAATAATAAATTATCTGGCTTTGATTAAAAACTAAACTAGTAACAGGAAATAAAAAGTATCAATAAAACAACAACTGATACGTGTTGTACAAATGGTGAACATCATGCTACAGTGGCCTAGTGGATAACAACCTTACCCTTTGAAGTGGTGAATACTTGATCACTTACTGACATACAGTTATACCCAGCTGACGAGTCCCAATACAAGACGAAATGAATGTCCTGGATTTCACTGTTAACCATCAAATAGACTACACTAAACTAGATCAATTCTACTCTCATGCATAACAATTCTAAATGTCAGCTATTTTCTGAGTTCATTTTGGCTACATTCTTGTTCATGATTGTTTTGAAAAGATTCTTTCACTCATCATTACTTGTTCTAGTGGCCTACTAATTTCCACTCTACAAAAATCTGAATTTTATCTTATTGTTTGGTGTAAGGTAAATTCTTTGTGTTTACTGTTATTCACTTTCAATAGGCAATCTTTTTATCAGTAAACAATGAATCAACTTATATATTGTTGGTAACATCTTTTGATTGTCCCTTGACATTTAAGTATGCGTGTTTTTCCATGAAATAAAATTTCATAGAAGTGTTATTTTGTCATTCGTGAACATCAAATGAATACATTTAAAGATAGCATATAATAGTCACTTAGTTGTTCTTCAATTCTAGTCGTTAACAGAAGTTTAATTTGAAACTAGTAAGTTTGCAGTAGGTTTAAAATATTCTTTGTTTTATGATTTGACTATCTGAGATAGCCGTAGTTTAGCAGACTAGTATTTGTAGGGGGTGATGATTGAAGGGGAGATGAGAATCTGAACCCCAGCCGGATTCGAACCACCGACCACCAGGTTACCGGCCAGGCACCTCTACCAACTGAACTACAAGGTCCGACTGCTGACCAGAATTTTATTTTGCTTCAATCACCAAGGGTTTTGCTCGACTACCATGGGAATTAGTGACGCGTTACTACCGCTTGATCGTATTCACACTGGCTGCCTAGTCAGGACTTCTCATCCCAATTCAAATCTAACTGAATCAGAGAGGGGGTATTCTCTCTAGTTATTTCTCGATATTCGGTTACATCGTCTGCAGAAACACAATTGATTACATGCTGATAAAAGTAAACTTTTGGAAAGTGTATTCCTTACCAGTCAATAATATCGCATTTATTTAATTTCAGTCCTAATTTTCAGCACTTTTTTCGACTTGTATGATTTTCCTTAGTTGGATACAGGGAATCGGCTGGAAGCCCTGGTTGACCTAGATTTCCTGTTTGTTGGCACTTGTCAGCAAGGCGTATCTGAAACTCCAAGGGAATTGATGTCCTTGAATGTTGACCGAATTCTATCGATCAGCGCTGTGGACTAAACTCGTTAACCTTTAGTGACAAAGTGATATAGTATGACATACTTCAGATCTATCTTGAATTGCTTTACAGGTTATGAAACAGTTAAAAACTTGAATCAGATCTTCGTTTAATTGGTTGAATTTCACCCTAAAAAGTACTAATACTAGTATAACTGTAATATTTAATTTTAAAACCTTTCTTCAAGAGAAAAAGAGAGATGAGAACCCTTTCATGCTAACTTACAACCTTGATTACTTTGAATATACATATCAATAAGCAAGTGTACTAATGAAATTTTACACTGTTTCTTTCTTTCCAGCATTCTTTCTCTACCTGTTTTGATAGCCATATGTTCTTAGAAATTCCTTTCTTATATAGTAGGATTTGGTTTAATTGGATCGTAGATAGGAATTTTCTTCTCTATGACACCTCCAGTAATCAATAACTTTTAGCTAATGAATTGACCACTGAAAATCAGGAGTTCCTGAACAGCTTTAAGACAACTGTTTAAGGTTCTTTTAACAACATACAGTCAAATACAAGATTTAACCAAAGACTATTAGATTTCTTAGTGAGCATATAACTATTCAGCTGGTAGTTCAAAGGGCAAAAGTTCATATTTTTGACATCTGTGAACCTCTGATGAAGCATTATCATAGTCTAGTGTCATAATCTTTACATCCTAATTTTATGACTTTACAAACCATAGCTTTCCATTGGAATTCTAAAATATCTGCTTTGAAACCAATCAGTGGTGAACATTAAGTTGTAATTCAACTGAATAGCTTGTACAATGTCGATTAATATCTGGGAACCTTCATCAGTAACCTAATAGTAGGAATATATGTTAAAAATGGAAATCTAGTTTAGGCTTTACAGGGGTTCTAATCCAAAATGTGATAAGTAAAAACTAATAAACCTTTCTATGACAATGACCAGTTAGTCGCGTAGTGTTTACAATAAGGTTCTTCAATGCGCTAAAACACCTGTTCATTGAGTTATAGATGAATACTACCTCAAAATATATTACTTTATGGTGCTCACTAGTGACATGCTTCCAGATGGATATCCCTATGTTCTAATGAGGTGTGACCTTTCAGAACTGAAGGGGATGCCAAGTGAAGAACTTAGGTGACAGTCACGCTAAATCGCTAATTGACAGAAGTTGGAAACTGTAAACCATTGAACTCCGACCCGGTTGGCTGGATGGTTAACGCGTTTACCGTGAAACCTGAAAGTCCTAAGTTCAATCCCTAACCGGATCGTGGGTGAGTACAGCTGATGAATCCCAAACTAGGACGAAACAACTCTCTAGTGCTCCCTGGTTTTCAATGGTTCTCCAACTGATGTCAGTCTGTAATGAATACTACTTCAAAATACATTAAATCATAGTCATATCCTTTAAGGCAATGATTAAAAATTAACATTGAATGTTGACTGCCTTCCTGTATACTTGTTTTACTTGTTATTTACTCTTAGAGTCATAAAAGATAAGCTTTGAAAGCTGTACATGTAGAACTGATAGGG